AAATGTGGGAACATAGGGCCTAATTTTAAGAAAAATCTTATAAATGTGGGAACATAGGGCCTAATTTTGAGTAAAATCTTATAAATGTGGGAACATAGGGCCTAATTTTAAGAAAAATCTTATAAATGTGGGAACATAGGGCCTAATTTTGAGTAAAATCTTATAAATGTGGGAACATAGGGCCTAATTTTAAGTAAAATCTTATAAATGTAGGAACATAGGGTCTAATTTTGAGTAAAATCTTAGAAATGTGGGAACATAGGGCCTAATTTTAAGAAAAATCTTAGAAATGTGGGAGCATAGGGCCTAATTTTAAGAAATTTTACGTGAGGCCATGAAGATGAGGCCAGACGGCGTTCTGTCTCCGTAGCTTCAGCTCTCTGTGCTTCCGCTCTGATTTCCATCTTTCCGGGCCTATTTTGGGGCTTAGTATCATTTTCAGCTTCTTAAAATATGAAGGAGATAGTGACAGTGATAGTGAAATACTGGTTACAGCTGTGTGATGAAACAGCAGAAACACCAAAATAACCTGAGCGTCAAATGGAATGTATTCATAATAAATAAGCCACAATAATCTAAATAACCAGCGTCGATTAATCAGTCAGTGAGAATGTGTGTGTGTGTGTGTGTGTGTGTGTGTGTGGTATACAGGCAGCAGCAACAGCGACCCTCCTGTTGACACACATGTCAGCAGCCGTAGGGATTTAGGGCTGTTGGCAGAGAATGTCGCAGCAAGCGAACACGCCGTCTGCTGACAGGTTTAAACCAACTTGGCCAGCAGACTTTGCTACAGGTTGATTGGCAGTAGAAACTGGCGGCTGCTGGTGATTTGACCAGCGAAGTGTCAGGTGACACCATCAGTCGGCTTGAGTCGAGCTCAGACTGGCCAGTTCACACCGCTGCACCTTTCTGTATAAACGGTTTTATCTCAAAGCAAATCTCTGGTCTAAATTAAGCTTTAGACATCTGAACCTCTTTTTTGTAACATGTCAAAAGCAAAAGCTAAACATGTCAAATATCGTCTGAAAAGTAACCAGTTAGAATAACGTCAGATGAACAGAGTGCAGTAAACAGTAGAGATGTAGTGGAGTTGAAGTATGACGCAGCATAAAATGGAAATACTCAAGTATAGTTCAAGTACCTCAAAATCGTGCTGAAGTCAGGCGTCAGAGCCGCCGTCAGAGATGGTCAAAGGGTACAGATGACCCCGGGCCAAGGCCAAGGGGGTCTATGGCTGACCTTTAAATGAGATCAAATGCAACAATTTACCTACTGACGTATATCACTGACAATACAAGTTATATGTATTTACATGATGAATAAATGTATTTGAACACATTTCAACGTGTCATCTGATGCCCATGCCCCGGTTCTTATTAATGCCTCTGCACACAGGGTGACCGTAAACAGTCTTGAAATTGCATCCAGTAAGTTTCGACACAAACTTCCAATAAATACAGCCATATAAATTTTAATCCAAGCCCAGTCAAAAACTGCTTACTGGCATGAATTTAAATACCATGGCCTACTTCAGCTGGTGACATAAGCCATCTAGTGGTGTGGTGGGCTAATACCTTTAACACAAATCAAACATATAGATCCAAAAAGACAGAGGTACAAGTAGATACAAAATACACGTGGAGATATGATTAATTGAAATATATTCACAGGAAGTATAAAAACGTGCAGGGTGGGCGTGGATGAGGGGCCCACTTTTGAAAATGTTGTCTCCCTGCTCATGTTTCCTAACGGCTGGCCTGACTGAAGTCCAGTACTTGAGTAGATGTACCTGGTTAAACGACTGCCTACCAGCTCCTCTGAAGCTCACCAACTGACAGATTATATCTCATTTGCTTTACCAGCAACAGTTCCAAAAACCTCAACCCAAACCAGGCTAGCTGTTTCCACCTGTTTCCAGTCTTTATGCTAAGCTAAGCTAACTGTCTCCTGTCTGTAGCTTCATGTCTAACTGACAAACCTGAGAGTGTTATTGATCTTCTCGCCTCGACAGGACAGTGTGTTTCTCAAAATGTCAAACTATTCCTTGAAAGCAGGACAGTATTAGACATGTGCACGTTAAGTTACACACGTGTCACTTTAGTCTCTAAAACACACTTTGATTAATTTACATTTAAAAACTGTAAAACATCAAACACCTCTCTGAATTTCGGAGCTTTGTGAAGTCCTGTGTTTGTGAAATGAGCCTCATCAGGCTAAATGTGAGAACTTTAATTATATTTTTTTAAATATATTTTTTATTCATGCAGTATTTTCAAATTGTGATGCAGATGTAATGCAGTGGTAAAGCACATGTAATCACTGTGAGGAGGCCAGTGAACTAATTTGTTTTGAAACTGTGAATGTCGGCCTCTGTTGGATAAAATGTGTAACTGCAAGTTACACTTCACATTTATTATTGGACTGTTTGTGCACTGTGGGACACTTTATGAAGTATTTGTAAACCTTGATCCTGAAACAGGAGTAAATGTGACAATTAAATATTGAGAAATGATCCTTCACTGGTCCAGTGTTGAAGTTAGAGTTGTTGTTCTGTCTTGTGTAAAAAGCACACACACCTGAACTGCTGCTGATCTCATCTGAAACAATAATTCAACTCTGTTCATGTTCTTTTTCACTTGTGCTTTTTAAACAAATATTATTTACTAAAACAAAAATAAAAGGTTTCATTGAGCCATTTTGTCTGTTATTGTCTTTGAGTATCTGTCACGTAAAAATACAAAATAAATTGTATACTAGTCCATAGCCATTGGTAGCTTTGTCCCCTTCTACCTATGCCAATCCTCAATACCTATGTGCAGTTTCACATAGATTGACCACGTCAGTGAGTAGAAAAACGTGGGACAGACAGAATGACTGACTGACAGAATGACACACTGACAGTTTCCGTGATTATGTACAGCATACCATACCATGACTTAGTCATACCAAACATTAGAAAACACCAACATTGGTCCACAGGGGGAGCCACAGCGATCGGTCGCATTTTAGCCATTTTGAAGCATTTTTCTGTTGTTATAGCGCCACCCAGTTGCCAATTAGAGTTAAATTTCTCCAGTCACCTTGAGGCGTCCTGTTCTACATATCTACCAAGTTTAGTAAAAATCCATATGGCGGTTAGGCCTA